GTGTCCTTCTTTACCCTGTCCGTTGACTTCTGCGGTACGGACAGGGTAAAGAAGGACACAGACAGAGCGCCGACTCGCAACTAAATTTTTAGTTGCGAGTCAGCGCTCTGTCTGTGTCCTTCTTTACCCTGTCCGTTGACTTCTGCGGTACGGACAGGGTAAAGAAGGACACAGACAGAGCGCTGACTCGCAACTAAAAAATTAGTTGCGAGTCAGCGCTCTGTCTGTGTCCTTCTTTACCCTGTCCCAGGGGGGGGGAAGGTGCCGCCGCTTCCAATGCACCCTCCTCAGAATTTACGGCGCTCCGTGGGGGCCGCCATGTTAAAACTTGAGACCAGTGTTGCTGCATCTGTAGGTCGTCTTTAAGTTAGAGGTGACGGAGAAAATCTGGCCACGGCGCAACGCCGATGTACGCTGGAAGCTAGAGCCGGTTTGCTTTCGTTGTTTTTGTTTGGTCGGAGAAAATCTAGCAACAACGCACGTTCAAGTTTCAACATGGCGCCGGTATTGCTTCGGCGCTTCGGTTTGACCACGTTTGACGCGGTTTGCCAGCACATGTAACGAAGACGTGACCGGAGAAGTGCCCCTGTGATGGTCCCGGAAGACGGAAAGTATCATTCGTAATCGTCGTGCGTGCTTAGAAAGCGAAGGCAGTCACAGGGTCCACGAGTGCGCAACCACAAGCCAAGGTTCACGACAGCGCTCCGTTGACTTCGGCGATCTTGTTCTGTTTGGTGCATAGAGATAGGTTTGGTGCAACACGGCGATGCGACAAAGAGTTGAAACGTTCGTGGTGTGTCGTGCGGTGCTTGGAGGTAGAATCCCATACTAACACGAAGCGCAAATTGGTTATTGTGGCGTTAAAATTCAACGGGTTCAGTTCCGTCGTCGTCGTCTGCTGATCCGGTCCAACTGGTCCGGGAGGACGCAGCGAGCGCTTTTAAACGTAAATCTTCCTTCGTTCCGTTTCAAAATGTGGAAGATTCTCGACGCATACCGTGAGTAAAAAGCTGCGGGCATTTTCAACAAAATTACGTCGTTTTAATTGAACTATGGACTACGGATTCTTGACCTAGACCTGCCGTTGTTATGCTTCGTGTTGGCGTTTGCACAGCGACGCACACCGCCCGAGTAGATGATTCGGTCCTGCAAACGACCGGTCATACAGAATTTCAGAGAAACATAAGTCACCACTGATATTTTCTTGTAAATTTCGTGTGAATTTGTTGCGCTCGTCATGCGGTGTGAATAAATTAGGGCAACGTTTCCTACCTGCCTACGGATGCATGAACTGAGACCATTTTTTACGTAGTGATCACATAGCGTTTTTTCTTTATTTTGGAAAAAGGTGTTGGTGAATTTATTATGGTACAATCACTTGAGAGTTCAGAAATTGGAGAGAGCGAGCATGCTTTCTCAACTTCGTCACTTTTCTCTCTGGCATTGCCCCTAGTTTCAAGTTGCAGTTTCACTATACATACCTACTAGCAGGTACAAACTGCTCTAAAGCAAATAAAAGACTGGTAAGTCAGGGCGGTGCGGACTCCGTGTTTCGCGCTTTTCGCAAGGTTACTGGGTAAGTGCTTTTGCGAGGTATGCGGAATACGCAAACGATTTTGTTATGCCCGTCGGTTGCGTCTCTCCAGCAAAACGAATAAGATGATCTACAAAGGCGCAATCACAAGCCAATATTTACGATAACAGTGCATTTGATTCGGTTGTACGTGTAGTTGTATTTTACCCTGCTTTCTGCAACAGCGTGTCATGACGAAGAGCTGGAACGTTCACGCGGTTTGTGCTGGGCTGCCGGTTGACCCAGGGGCGGATCCAGAACTCCGTTTTTTTTTTTCGTTTTTTTTTTGGGGGGGGGGGGGGGGTGCGCGAGGGGGAGGGAAAATCTAAACTCTAAAGGCCCTGTCACACTGAGGCAACACGACGGCAACAGCAACACAACACGTTGTCCAACAGTCGGGCAACTTGTTGCTCGCTCCCCGTGTTGTCCGACAAAGCTGTCACACCGCGGCAACAGCACGACAACATAGACGACAACTAAAATGTTGCCTCGGTATGACAGCTTTCGGCAACAAAAACAGCAGCAACTTGTGTTGGACAACGAGTGTTGCCCTGATCGCTGGCCGAGCGAATTTCGGGACGGCAACACGACAACATAGATAGCTTCGATGGTGAGCTAGTCCCCTATCAATAAAGCCTTACTCAAACAAAGGCTTGGAAAACGTTATTTAACAATAATTGGGGCTGGCGTGCAGCTAAAATATTTTCGATTAATGTTTTTTGCTGCGCAGTTACGGAAAGCGATTTTCGAAATGGTCACAGCTACGGTCGTGAACGTTCAGACTGGTTTTGAAATTAGATCTCCCGAGAGTCCAGCGCACATTACGGAGTGAAATAAAATGGCATGCCTACTCACCCACTAATAAAGTATAATAAAAATAATCCAGAAAACCTAAGATTAAAAAGTCGAAGCATAAAACGACCACTCTGATCATAATTGTTGATGCTTGGAACTTGGAAACAGCCGCTACCAGACACCTGATTTGTTTTAAAAATACCCAGGACGTTTTGGGCGAATGAAGCGATCACGTAGCAGCGGTAGGCCAGACAGCGTTGAAAAATATTTATTTCACCGATTGTTATGAAGGCCGATGGTGTCGGTGTCGCAGTTTTGAAGCACTGTCAGTTCAGCTCAACACCACGCTACAAAAGACGCTTTGGGGTACTGCCGGTGCTAATGCAATTTTACAATAGAAATAGAAATTGCATGAAAGAACCGGACAGAATCACTTCATACGGTGGCGTAAATCCCGAACATACATCAGCGATGTCCCTTTCCTCGGTTAGGGCTATCTGCTTTGTCAGCAAATGAAGAACATTTCGATAAAATAAAGAGCGAAAAATACTCCCTGTGTCAAGTTTTCTAATCACAGTCACTAGTTGATGTCGTACCGTGGTAATTCCCGGCCCTTCGAACGCACTAGCACTTTGTAGAGTCACATTTCCAGCGATTCCGCGCCGCACACGAACGAAGGTAAACAATCAAGATGGCGGAGTGTTCCCCGTGTTGTGTTGTCCTCGCCGTCAGCGCGGTGTGACAGGGTTGTCGGACAACAAATCGGGCAACACGGTTGCCGGGCGGCAGCAGCATGTTGCCCGACTGTTGTTGTTGGCTCGATGTGACAGGGTCGCCGGCAACACGACTTCCCCGTGTTGCCGGATAGAGTTGTCCAACTGTTGCCTCAGTGTGACAGGGCCTTAAAGCAAGATAAACAGGACTCCGGTTGCGCCTTTTGTTTTACCCGCCGCAGAACCACACTGCGCCGACGGCCCCTAGATGTGCGCCGCTGCGCCGACTTTTGGTTCTAACTTCTGCCGTGCTTTGAAACCGCCGCCGCGGACTTCAGTCTAAGCGACGGAGTGGTTCTCCAAGTGTGTGCGCCTGCTAGGGTGCGGCCTACCCTATTTCGAACCCTCGTCCTTGAGTACCGAGCTTCCTACCACCTGGCAGGACGGGAGTTGGTTTTATTTCGGGGAATCCACCCATGTCAAATCGCCCTCCAAGAAGGGGGCGGGGGGGGGGGGGGGGGGGGGGGGGGTCGACTGTTTGGAGGGTAGGCGGCCGCCCCCGTCGCCTCCCGCCTCCCCCTTGGGTCTGCCCCTGGATTGACAGAAGCCCGCGTCGCCCGCATTGTGAGTGCACTTGGGCTGTTGTAGTGGCTCTAGGCTGTTGATGCTGAAGCCTTTCATCCGCGGCTTGCCGTCAGCTGGTCCGGCTGCTCGACGGTGAGGAAGCGGCGAAAGTGACCTCTGAAGCAAATCGAAATCCTTGTTCATCTTGTGGGATGCTGCGTCGTGGTGACGAGCGAATCCCAACATAGGAAAGGAACGGAGGTTTTATTGCCTCGGCGGCGTCGGTCGACGGACGTTCCTCTGTCCCGCGTGACTGTGTAGCGGGCGGCCGTGCTTCCCTGAAGCAGACGACGACGAGGTTTTATAGCGCCAAAATGCTGGTGATTGTGCGTCGCCACAATCTAGTTATCCGGTGTCAAAGTGTGGAAGGTGTCCAAGTGTACTGAGGGCGGGAACTACGAGCGTTTTGCCTTGCTTTCGTAACCGAAACCAGAACAGCGAGATAACTGCCTTGCGTACTCCCAAATGATGGAAGCAATAAGTTGCCAAAACCTGTTTTTAGGGTTTCAAGCCGAGTAAACAAGACAAATATAATTAAACTTCGTTGTTTGTATGCAGGAGGACTTATATAACACAACAATACATTTTTTCCAAAACGAAAAAGAAAGTAAAACTTCGTCCGCCGTATATGGCAGCAACTTCTTTACTGCGAAACCTATGCTGGCAACGTAAGCGGTTTTAATATGGCAGCCTCCGCTTTGCGCCGCGTTCCCTTTCCCTCGTTCCCCCCCCTGCCCTGTCCGTTGACTTCTGCGGCAACCCCCGGTCACAGTCCCAGTTTCGCGGCGCTGACATTAGCGTCGCCACCATCAGCGGCGCTGTGCATAGCGTCGCCACCGGCAGCAGCGCTTAGGTGGTGGGAACTCTCATTAATACAAAAATACATTATAAAACTTTGTCCGCTAACAGTACTTTCAACAAAACGTCTTCACCGCACCATGAAAATAAAATGCAATTTATTTTATATATTTCTTTCTGTTCGTTCTGTTTTCGGTCTAAAACCAAAACTCTAAACCGACCCGCTGGCCTCGCCGGTGCCCTGGAAGGCGCCGCGGCGCGTATTTCCAAAACCTGGCCATTCCAGATCTGCCGCGGAGCGGCGTGCTGCGATTGGCCAGATTACCGCCGGACAAAATATTGACGGCGACGCACATACGACGCCGGTCGCCGGCAGGAGCGTCTGCTACACTCCGGCGGATACTTTGGTGCCGTGGCCCGTGGCCACGGCACCAAAGTATCATCTGCCAGTGCATATCCATTGAGTTATTCCGCATATTACGCGCATAAAAGTCGGCAGCAGAAGTTTCGAGCATGCCGATGTCCACAGTTCGACTGCTCCAACCTCGGCGATTCTCTACCCAAGCTCGAATGAGGTAGGCCTCGCTGCTCTGTTCCGTAATTGAAACCGTGTACACGTGGAGTGCTTGCAGTGCTAATGCGCAGTGCTTTTCAACCGTAATTCAAGAAGCGAGAACGATAGCCTTGCACAGCGTGTGTGGCTGGTGTCAACGTTTTCCGTGTGACTCTTATCAAAGTAAGCCTTGTCGCCTTCCTACGCGCCCGCGTAGCGCCCGCAATTCTGTCAATCGTACTGCTCAATTAATTCGCCGTTTTTCTTGCTCTGAAACGCTATGCAGATTTTATATCCACTTCAATGCTTCACAGCTGAATGAACACTTGTTTGTCGCTGAACAAGATTGCCACGAACGGATTTACTTCCGCGGTTTTACGCCCCGCAAGTGTTTACTTTTTCTGCCGTATTTTCACGTTTTATTGCACAGACTGCTTTGATTTGTACCAGTTTTAGGCTATTTGGCGCATACCAAATTTCGTGAAATTAAAAGGACGCGAATTGGTTTCAAGCTGTTTGTTTCTTGCGCCTATCATGATTTCACGTCGTGTTATTTTGATCAGCACTGGAGGTGAGCAGAGAATAAAAACCCATACAGAACTCGGTTTCAATAGATGGGGGCCTTTTCGTGGTGCCTTTTTGTTCACTGTTCCCTCCTCTGCACTTGATACATAGGTATGTCACCTGCCCTTTCAGCCTGTGGAGGTCCATGGGAATTAGAACGGAAGCATTAAAGCCATCTTCAGAATTACTTGTGCATTAAATCCTGTTACCCACGGGACATTCTTGTGTGAATCCAAAGTCCATGCTATTGAGAGCTTCTCTATGGTAGTGATAGACTCCAGCTACAATCTAGTTTTGTCATCTTTATTTCGGTCCCATCAATTTCCAGCTGCTGATGTCATCACTGTGTAATGCTGAAGTTCTAAAGGTCCCATAAATTACAGGCAGATCCAGACAATCCAGGACACTGAGCACAACGAATGCAATGCTGCTGGTTCTTACGACCAGCGACTTATACGCACACACCCCTAACATGCCCCAGGCCGAGTCCCTAATAGCCGCGTCCCACTAGAGCGACAAACGACAGCAACAGACGACAATGAGCGATATACAACACTGACAAACAGCCTCTTTGTCGGAGTCCTCTGTCCCACCTGGCAGACACGAGCAGAACACGGGGACAAGGAAACTTCTTTCCTAGTGGGACTAGAGTTGTCAACAGCACTTCAAAATAGACAAACAGAGTATGGCGACGCGGTTTTCTTGTTTTGCTTTTTGGGCGTCAAACGCGCCGACAAACACGGTGAAAGTGGAGACGATGACTTTATTCCTTGTTTAAAGGGATACTACTACGAAATTTCCGCGCTCATTTTTTGGTCTATATGTGTTCAAAAAAGCACCGCCAAATCGAACATACCAATATCGTGTTAAAAAAGTCATGAAAAGGAATTTTAAGACGAATTAAACGATTAGCAAAGAGCACCTGGTGGATGTCGCTAACGCCTCGCTTGTAATGCCCGTCTAGCAACCTTGGCAGCTAGTGGCGGAGGTTGTCTCGCCTCCGGCCACGACGAGAAGAGGGGCAGGGGGAACTCCCCTCTTCCCGAGAATGCCTTTTGTGTGTCACAGAAGTCGCTATTGTCCCCCTACAAGATTATAGAAGATTAACCTGTCACTCAAAATTTGTACAAAAGCAGCCGCTTCGGTGGCTGGAACAAGCTGGAACAACTAGGCCATCATCTCGACGGCAGCCTCGCCGTAGCTTTGCTCGTCTTGAGACGACCTACGTCACGATTGCGTTGGATGTCACATGGTCTCCGCTGGGCCTTCTCCGAGCGCTTGCCAGAGTGGGCCGTTTATAACGAAAAATACAGCCACCAGGCTCAAAATACAAACGTGTGATTGTCATTTACGGATATTGTGGATCATATTCAACCTATTTTTGAACACGACGGAAATATTTCAAATTTCGTTGAAGTATCCCTTTAAAGCTTCCGCTTGCCTTCATTTGCCGTTGGCGACTTTCCGAAAACAGTCGTGACAATCGACACCCAACTTTTTCCGAACTAGAATTCCTGAATCGTTCCTTTTTTTGGGTCGTTCGAAGCATTCCAGGTGCGCGCCACGGAATTTCACGGGAATTTCATTGTTCCCCCATAAAACGCCTCCAAGGGAAGGCGTTTTATGAGGGACAATACGGGGGTAGTTTTATTAGGGACAATCACAGAACGGATGACAAGTCTCTCGTTTTGCCGGAATGGCTTGCCGCAGAACTGATGGAACGTCGTGTCCTACTTCGTGGTGAGCGGTCTTACTTTGGTCAGTCCTCGCACATGGGTGTATCCATCCTGATGCAGGGGTGTAGACTTCGGCATCTTGAAGCACCAACTCGCGCACCAGGTTTTCGCGAGCAAAACCAGCCACAGCAAATTCCCTTTTGCAACACGACATCTAGCAAGCAAGCCGTGCCCGCGACCACTACGAGCAATCCAGGAATCGAAACTGCGGGAGCAGGAACGATCAGTGGCCGCCAAGGACTGAGTCACGGCAGGAATGGGAGGGTGGGGAAGACAGCAACTGAAGGCAGAAGTGGGTAAGAAAATTAAGTTTGTCTCCGAGAGATGTTCCTCGGTGGGACTGCTTGCTGCGCTTCAAGTTGAACAACAGACAACAACTCGTCCGTCGTTGATGGTTTGTCGGCGCTTGTAGCAGATGTTGGTCGTTGCAGTGGAACAGCATCAGCGACACAAAACTTCGTGCTGTCGCCGGACGAAAATCGGCGTTTGTCGATCTAGTGGGACAACGCTATAAGAATTTTCTACTCAAAGTACACAAATCTATGCTATACATCCCTCGCGAGGCCTTTCCCAGAATTAGCAACACCTTCCCAGATAGACAATCATGGATGAACCCCTGGCCTCAATCCTGGCAGTGTTACAGCAGAGGAACGCGGGCACCGCAGATGCCTGTTCTGCTGCGGCTCACTAGCATGTCAGTCGAGGGAGACTCAAAGAACTCCAAGTTGGGACGTTAGCACAAAAGCAACATTTTCCCCCTCTGCTTGAACTTCTAGAGCGAGCCACACCGGGATCGAGACAATCAGCACAAGTACATGGTGGCTCCTATGACGCATCTTGTAACGCCTTCATCTCAATCGCCATTCTGCAGCAGTTCTTTTAGGCACAGTCTTCAGAAGGTAATCAAATGAGCGTGCACAAGCTACATCAGAGTTCCAGGTGCAGTTCGGGGTCTTGCATCCGAGAAATATTTCTCGACAGTCACCACATATGTTGATGAACACCAGTGTTGCAGGCAATCATCTGCCAAGAAGCCACACTTGATCATGCAGACGCTTGCTTCCCAGAGGTCGATTGCATAGAACTCTATGGAGCAGCCCGATCCTGCCCATCAACCAGGCCTTTGGCACGTTCCCTCTGTGTAGCATTGCAGATGCTTGAAGTAGACTGTAGACTGCCTGCCTGATGGGGAAAGGAAGACCAAGCAGTCAATCCAAGCCACTCTTGAACCAATGTGCAGAAAAGGAAAAATTCAAACGTGGAGATATGAAACATGCTGTATGCACGACAGATTGTAGGTCGCTATGCTTGTTCTGGGAGCGTCCCAATCAATCCATTGAATGGGAGTGGGGCACTCGCCTTATTAAAGGGCCCCTGAGAAGACAATCTAGTTTAACAATCTAGTTGAAACACACATGTCAAAAAAAAAAAATTATGTGAAAAAAATATTTTTTAGAGCAATATTGACGGCGCGAGACGCAATTTAGTCGGCAGTCACGTCCGATTTAGTCGGCAGTCGCGTCCTTACCACTTGTTTTCTCTCTTGGCATTTCAGGAGCGTGGAGGGGAGGTCGATCGCCTTCGCCTTTACGATCGAGATGGTCATCTTGGAATGACCCGTGACGTCACGGACTTCGCAAACAATTTCAATTAAATCTCTCCCAATCAATATTGCTCGGTAAAATTTCTTTTTTAACACATGTGTCCCAACCAGACTGCTTAAAAAAAACATTTTCTTTTTCTTTTCAGGGGTCTTTTAAGTTAGCCACAAAGTTACTTCCCAACCAGCAAGTTATCCCTTAAAGTCCTGCTGCATGCTACCTAAGGAACAAAGTTTAAGATGGGAAATTTGGATCGGAATGTGCAAGAATGCCTTCCAAGGGGAAAAGCATTGACGTGCATGCTCCGCCAAAGCTACATTTCACCAAAATGTAATGAATTTATGCCTACACTACACCATAAGGGAGTTTTCGTTTGTATCTACCGAAACTAATAGTTCAGGCGTCGCAGTACTGCCAGATTGTTCCTGCAACATTGTGTGAATCGCTTAGAACTTCCGGTTATTGCTTAGAATAATGTGTGATTTGATTTGATTTACACACCGAACATGACTCAGTTCTCGGATGTTTCGTGATATCTCTCATTGTACGTGGTATGTTCGGGCAGTCTAATTATCTCCGTTGAGTGCGCTTCTCACACCACACACTGGTGCACTGCCGAGAAGCTACACCCGTGGAGTAGGCATTGCAATTCTGCTTATGTCGCTTTGCCACAGGGCAGCCATGTCTTAAAGGGGCACTAAAGTGCTTTTTGAGAGCCTCGTTTTATTGTTATAACTCAATCTACGAGCACTAACCATCCTTAAAAAGCAAAAATTACATTCATCTGCGGCCGATTTCCATACTAAAAAAATCAATCAGAATTCTCGACACTTCGCGTCAGCGCAGAATGGCAGATGGCGCTACCGAACCTTCGTGAATATGGTCAAACAACGGACGGCACGTGTCGGCTACTCGCGAGCGATGGAGTCCACCGTGGACAAGCTGCCGACCAGTCGTGCTCGTCCACGCAGGAACCCATCGCTCGCGAGTGGCTGACATGCACCGTCCGTCGTTCGACCATATTCAGCAAGGTTTGGTAGCGCCATCTGTTATTCTCTGACGATGGTAAGTGTCTGGAACTTCGATCACTTTTTTAAGATACGAATTTGCAGCAAATGAATGTAATTTCTGGTTTTTTAGGATGATTAGTGCTCGCAGATTGAGGTATGACCATAGAACGAGACTTTCAAAATACACTTTAGTGCCCCATTAAAGGGATACCGAACCGAAATTCGGATTACGCAAAATAAGGATGCATGAGCGTTGAACAAAACGCTAGGAACTCCAAGACATGACTTGTACATTAGTATCTCAAACAGATGGCCGCTCTTTTGAAAAAAAAGTGCGGCCATCTGTGACGGTCTTTGACGTTGTTGTCCTCCGGCAGAATTGCAGAATGAGGGGAAGCAGCCTCGCTTCTCTCTTTCTCGCTTCAGTTCACTAGCTTGAAGGGACGTAGCGAGAAGGAGAGGGAACGGGAATCGTGACGTGACTTGTCTCGTCGGCCGTGTTCACTCGCACACTTCTTTTCCAAAAATACAGAGATCCGTTAGAGATATCGCTGTATGAGTGTTGTTTTGGGGTTTTGCAGCGTCCCGCCTATCCGTTTACCCTTGTTTTGTGAGCTCGAAATTTCTGTTCACTATCCCTTTAAGGGTAAAAGCACTATTCCAGGGTGAAAGGTGGACAACAAAGCATGAATTAGAAAAATATATATATATGTGAAAGAAAAGGAAACTTGGTGAATGCTGATGTGATATTTACCTTGCAGTAAACTTTGCTAAATAAAAATCTGGTTAGTCTATATGATAGACTTTGACACCTTGAAAATATTACACACAATTCCTTTATGTGGTTAGCATACTTATTTAATGATGCTTGCTTATCCAAGGTGCTCATCAGTGAGTAAATAATACAATCGTCCCCAGAGTCCGACCTGTATTTCTGGGGGCGTGCTGTGTAGTACGTCATTTATATATGTCAAGACTGACCCTAAAGCAGAACTGTGAGCTACAGCTGAATATGCTGGCAGAGGGTTTGCAACATTACCGCTGCTTTCCACACTTTGGCTTGAATTTGTTAGGTGGGAATCAATCCAGTTAGTTACTGCTGGTTCCATCTTAAATGTTTTGATTCTGGCCACAGGTCTCCAATGTGGCACTCAATAAGAGGCCAGATATGAGCCTACATATCATATAAACCTGCTCTGTGTCATTTAGTGCTAATGCAATGAGCTGTTTCCTGTGCTCTGTTCACCACCAAGTTGACAGTGCGATGGGAGCAACACATTCACTGGACCTATCGACCGCCTTCCTCTCGTCACCGGACCCTGCTCCTGGCGCATGGATGTAGGCGGGGATGTCTGATCAGATGGCAAATGATGGGCGTACAACTGGTCCAGCAAGCACGTAGCTTCCAATGCACCATCAGCTTAGGGGTGAGCGGTGTATACCAGTTGTGCGACGGTACATAGGCCAGGTCAGGAAATGAGATACATTTAATTCTCTCATGAGCTACAAACAACGGAACTAAATAGCCATAAAACCTTTATCCAAGACGACACATACGTAGCACCCGAAACGAAGGTGTGGGATGGCGATAGGTGATACCATCAAATGACAAAGCAGTACAACATCATGCTTGTGTTTAATATCTGTTAAAGCGCGTGGCGGTTCTGCAATAACCCGCACATTAAATTGAGAAAACTAATTCGCAACTAGCAACATGGTTTTGTAGAAATCAAATATTGTTTGGAATTTTTGTGTGACGCTTCATGTCCCCAGTATTTAGGTTCATCAAAATTGAGTGCTGAAAAAACATTAATTCAAGGCTTTTACAGTACCTCTATCCTCATTCCATTTCATTGAATGGCAGTGACAGCACCATAGGAATTGAACAAAGAGTGAAACCTGCCACCTTGTTGACAAACCTACCTGCTGAAGGTGGCCACGAGATTCCCTTGTCACCACTTGGTCACTTGAATAAGCCAATAACTATTGTATCTAGAGGTACTGTGGCAGCAATGTTGTAGCTGTGATGCTCATCGGGCCAGGTCTCTTTCAGATGTGCATGTTCCCGTCGAAGAGTAGCCCATCGCCATGGCAGCTGGTATTGACAAGAGTATAAATACATTAGTCGAAAAATTGAACAGTCAGACAAGCTAGTCTACATGCCACACAATTCTACACATGGAGACTAAAAAAAAAAGAAAGCAATGCGACATTGTCTTTACAGGGCTTTGCATCTCAACTCTCTTCCCTAGCCCTGCGTTGACCAAGACGTTATGTGTGCATAGTTGCAAGTTCAGACAAAATGGGACAATCTACCTACGTCGATCTCTATAGTTTGCATTGCAAAAGCAAACCATGTTTTTTTATGTCGGCAGTGACAAGGTATAACACACGCATTACAACCATAATCTGATTTTCTTTATCTTTTTTTAGAAAATAACAATTCTGTAAAGCAAACCCACGTTACAGCCTGTACCATGTCTAAGTGAGGTGACTTAAATTCTGGTTGCTCTCCTGAATATCTATAATAAAGCACTATACACCTAGCTGTGCTAGAGCATTTCTTTTTCAGAGGCTACCCAGCAGCACAAAGCAAGTAAGGGACAGAACTTCCTTCAGTTGTCTAAGACCGGAGAATGAACCTCTCACAGGGGTGAATGTGCACGAAAAACACTATTTAGAAATGTATAACAATGAGTGCGGGCCGGATGTAGGTAATACGACAGATGTATAATTTATGGCGCCATTGAGCGTATGTACAGTCAGCACGGAATGAAACCCGAACGCCGCAGCGCGTGGCCATCGTCACAGGCTGCTCCACCTGGAGGGCTCCTGAGAACTAATGAAAATGCACCGGGGTGCCAGGGTGCGTGTCCTACTAAGCTGTGCTCGACCCTCGACCACCGGCGAAACGCGGAAGTCCCAGATATGTCGCGCGAGAGTCGAGCACACCTTAGTAGGACCTGCACTTTCGCTCCAAAGCACATTTTCATTAGTTCTCAGGGGCCCTCCAGTGGAGCAGCCTGTGACGATGGTTTCATTCTGTGCTGACTGTACAATGTCTAGACATGCGAATTTGCTGTCCAGGCAAACGTGTTCCCCACTGCTTTATTCTGAGCGACGATTGCTACTCAATAACGTCACTGCAGCGTGGTGGTTTCAGACGGTGCTGTGTCATTAGCTATTTTCAGACGTTGGATACTTAGCAGCAGACGGAAAAACTACTGTCGCAACTTCTACATCCATTTAGCCCAACTACCTGACTAGATAAAATCATAACTAGGGATGTCGCAAACCTGCCGAGATTGCAGGAGTTAAGGTTTGAATTTGAAAAGGTTGCGAATTTCAAACCCTGCTGTGTTTCGAATTTGAAAAGTTTGATAATGTAAAGTTTCTGAAAGTTCAAGTTTGAAGATTTCAACTCTCTTTACAGATTGAATATGAAAAGTTTGAAAATTTCGAATTTCTTCGCTATACATGTTTGAAGAATTCAAATTTAGGTTTTTGAATCTCAAGGTACAAGATCAAATACCACAATTTAAAATAAAGTTTTTAAGGGCTCATCTAGAAAAAACTTGAAAGTGCTACAAAGTTGACTAAAAACGCTGCACATTTTATTTTGTGCCATAAACACTACTTTCTTCTCGGTACCGGGTTCTTAGGATACTTCTCGTTATTTACTATGATTAATGAAACAAGCCTTGAGTTGGTTGGACGGTTCAGCGACAAGACTTGAGGCGGTCTGGTATGCATCAGGAATGGCTACCTCTTTGCAAACTGGAAGCAATGCGATTGAATACCCCTAAATGAGATGCTGGCATGAGACAATGAAATATACAAGTTGATGCGTGCAGACAAAGTCGCCAAGGCAAGACATCTTGCTTTACGAAAGTTTGTAGTTGCTCTGGGCGTTTATTTCCAGTGGAATGGCCCGTGGGGCAGAGAAAACACTGCACGCAGGTACAGCACCCGACAGAGCTCAAGGTCAAGAAGCATGCAACCAGACAAGCTCATAGGTCCCCCGGCCCCCCAAGATACACCTGATCAGGTAATGACCG